GTAATACAGTTCCACTGCGTGAGTGCAGAGGGCTTGTCTTCCTGGATGTGAAAATGTTGCTTTTGAGTGATTGAAATTCTTTCTTTTGTAGTGGAAGTAAAGCAACTTATAAAAGGTGAAAAGGAAGACAGAATAACCACGAGGAAAGAAGAGAGAAAGTCATATGGTAGTAAGGATAAAGGAGGCAAAAAAAGAACAACAAAGACAGCAGGGAAAGAGGTATGTGTTGGGATGCCTGTTGAAACCTAAATGCTGGGGACAGTGTGATCCATTCTGAGATGGTGTATCTTGAGTTTGAGCTGATTTCCAACCCAGTGAAAGAGGTGCAGTTTCTGGGAGGTGCATCTTGCAACAATCTCAAAGGGGTTCTGACCTGTGACACTTATCTTTGGTCTGTCCCTGAATAGCAATATCCAAGCAGCAGAAAGTTAAAAGATGAGAAAAAGCTGAAATCTTCTACTTCATCACAGGAGATGAAAGAGGGAGCACAGCCCAAGGAAGCTGTAACTACAGATGGAGTAGAACCTCCTCAGGAGGAGATGGACCCTATTTTGTTTGGGATGTACCAGGAAAAGCTTTATATTGAAGTGAGTCTCACCAAAACTTACCTCTTCCTTTCTTGTTTTTGTTGTAAGGTTACACTGAAGCTTAGGTGGAGAGGTAAGCATTTTGTTAAAGCCAGAAAACTGACAAACATGTGTCTAATTCTGTAGCAAGGTAAGTGTGAAATATAAAGAAAGATGTCCTCTATTCCAGCCTGGAATCTGTTACCATAAATCCAGCTATCACATGCGGGATTTCTATCTGGGATGTCTTTAACATGCTTATAGACTCTTGAGGGATCAGCAGAATTAATTGTATCTCGGATAATGTTAAACACACTTCACAGCCAGGAAAGTTATTACTAGAGCTAAGTACTGTTAGCAGGCAGCCACTTCTCTGTGGCTGTGTGTGTGCCCATACATTAATGTGCATGAGAAGCCATCTGCCTGTCAGTCTCATCATCAGGATTTCTTCACGTGTTTTCACTGCAACTACCTTCTGTTAATTTCTGCTGTAGGTTTATGGGCTGCTGGATTCAATGGTGAGCAAAATGGTTTCTTTATTTGAGGAACTAGAGAACACAGGTGCTCTAAAGTGGGAGAGCGAAGCCCTTTAACTGGAAATAGACTTACTTTAAAAAAAAATAAATAAATAACCATATTTACACAGATCAAGTGGAGGTTTTTCTTTCTGAAGTGATGCACTGATTACAAATACTGGGCTTTCTCTTTTCTGACATGCTGTGATGCAAGACTATTGCTAGATCATCTGTTACTGCTACAGATGATTGCTTGCCAAGAAGAGACGAGGCAAGAAATATCACAGCCTCAGAAACTGTTAAGAGTAGAAAATACTGGCATTTCTGTTAAAGAAGAAGAATTTAAAAGCACCAGTCAACGTGAAGTATGTCTTATTCTTTGATTCTCAGTCTTGTTTGACTAGCAGGTGAGTGAGCAGAGAGTGTCCCTTGTACTCATGAACCCAAGTATCAGGGCAGTAACTTAGAAAAATCCATCCCATTTTTGATCATCTTGACTGCTTGTCCTGTCTCCTCTTGGGACTTGCTGACAGCTTTTCTGAGGCATTCAGGATCCCTGTGAAAACACACTATCCCAAGGGGTGTGCCACCCTCCCTAGTTTTGCACACATGTGTTTACTTCTTGTGCTGATCTTGCCATCCCTTTCCATCCAGCTTAGTGCACCCATGCCCCATTCTGAGCCAACTCTTACTTGCTTCCATCCAAGACTAATCACTCTTGAATTAAAATGAGTGAAATTCACGCCATAAATATTGTGGGTATGGTTATGTCTTGTGTTGGAGCCACCCGTCCTTGTCTCTTGTCAGCCTGCGTGTGTGTCTGGGTTTATCACCACTTTCTGTCTGGGCTCCCTTGTGCACCACAGCTGGAAGGGAGTGTTTTGTGGAGGCAGCCCCGGTCTGAGTGTTGCCCGCTCTCGGGTGGGAGCAGCTTTCCCTGGCAGAGCCAGCTGGGTGCAGGGTCTCTCTTGACCTGGCAGCGAGAGAGACCCGGCGTGTGTCAGGAAAGCGTCGTTTCCCTGCTGGAGCAGCTGGGCAGCATTCCCCAGACAGGCTTTGGCCCTATAGCCAAATGACATCAGTGTAGATTGTTATTTGAGGTTTGCGATACCTTTGGGGTTCTCGGGCAGCAGATACCTCTCCGTGCTGAGCCTTGCTGTTACACATTCTGTACGTCGCTGCGCCGTTGCACCATGCGTGTGTGCCTCAGGCGTGTGCTCTTTTACATTGGCAGCCACGCTGACACGCGTCTTGGAGCTGCACGTAGTGCAAAATAACTGTTCCTTTGGCAGAATTGTTTTCTTTTGCTTTCTCATTTTAACTCGTGTGCTGTCTCTGGGGAGAGGATATATTCTTCCCCTTGGCTCCTGGCAGCACCATGGCAAAGCGAAGCTTATTTTCTTTGCCTGCCAGGTGAGGCCCCTCATGTTTCAAGATGCTTTCTCTTAGTGGGGTGTGGGGAGGCACTTTGGCTTCTGTGGCAGCCAGGAACCTCTTCTGGCTTAGCGGGCACGAACCCACAAAGGGAATGTCTCTGCTCAGCATTCCTGTAGTGAGAATTTCAGCAACATTTTGAGAATTAGAAGGAAAAAGGCCTGAAGTTGGGGTGTGTCTCACAGGCTCTGACAATAGCTCCTACCTCCCTGGAGATGATTATCAGCCTGTGAATATGCCCAACTCAAACAGCTCGAACCATCTGTTTCTAGACAAGAGGGAGTCTGCACGTTATAGAGGCAACGTGATTGTCTCAAAGGCTGGAATGCTTTTATTTGGTAGCTTTACCTTACAAGGTGGCAAAGGCCACTTACAAGGTCCATGCCTTCAGTCCAACCTATAGAAACCAGGCTCTGTATATACCTTTACTCACAGGAAAACTTGTTAATATGAAAAGAGGTAGAGAGGAGTTTCAGGTTAGTCACATACCATGGAAGAATGTCCTATGCTGGTCTCTCCTTCCCCTCCACAGGAGGAGCCTGGTGGCCCAGGGCAGGCAGGTGGCATAAGAACTACAAAGAACAAACTTGAATGCTGTTGGACAGTCTAATTTTTTGTCATAAATATTGCCAGTGCCTCTTACAGCCTTGGACAAGAATACCCTCAAGGGACAAGGTACAAGCAGCGCACAGGAAGGGATGTGCTGGGCCAACAAGTGCAATACTCTGCTGTCTGGCTGCTGCGGCTTTCTCTGAGCCAGCTGGTTTGGTTTTTGTTTTTTTTTTTTTTTTTCCTTTTGTATTGATTTGTAGAAGTTACACGACTGGAACTGCAGTGGAATTAGAGCTGGCTTGCACAGAACACCTTGAGAGACACATAACCTTCATTTCCAGGCCTGTTGTGAGATGTGGGCTTTGCCAGAGCAGGGACCCTGGGGCTGGCCAGCCCTGCACTCCAAAGGACAGCTGGGTGCTCCAGGCGCTATAATGCCAAGCCCCAGCAGCCAGGCAAGGAGAGTATTCCTCCTCCTCCTCTCCCAAACGTGGGTGTTATTTGTATTAGTGTTAATAATTTGTGTTGTGTTTGCTAAATAACTGAGGTGAGCGACCTTCCTGGCCTTGGGAGTTGCATACCAAACCCATCACGTGAGTTGGGGTCTGAAGACACCATAACTATGAGAGAGGCCAGGAAGGGAGATTCCAGGAAAACGCTGCAGCAGAAGGTGACAGCGCATTTCCCCAGGCTTTTTAGTGGCAGAGGGCGTCCGGGTGAGGGAAATCAGCCTGAGAGCATTGCTGGGTCCCATTTCCTACGGCAGGGTTGTGGGGCACTTAGCAAAGCAAAACCCCACATTTGTACAGCTCCCCTGTGGCTCGTAGGGTGTTGTCCCCACAGAGAGGTTTGCTTTGCTTATGAAAAGTCAGTGCCTGAAGAGGGGCAACCTGGCTGCCTCCTCCCCCTGACACCGGTGAACAGCACTGGGAATAGAGGAAGAGGAAGGCCTGGATCTTGGGCAACCATGCAGCATGCCTCCCGCTGGGATGGGGTGTCCTCCAGGATGACCTGGAGGAGGGTTTGGGTGCTGGAGTTGTTCTTCTCCCAAGCTGCAGCTGGGACTGGGACTGGATGCATGGGCAGACCCTGCTGGGAAGGCCAGGCTGGTGAGATCTGCAAAGCCCTGGGAAGCACCTGGCCTCCCCACTGCTGCCTTCTCCCCACTGCTGCCTTCTCCCCACCACCCAAGGCAGGACCTTCAGGGCTGGGGCCTGATAAACCTCAGCTCTGTGTGGTGGGAGTGTCCGCAGGAGGGCACAATCCCCCTCCGGAATGTTTCATCACACAGGAGATGCTTTCCATTATGGAAAATGTCAGTGATATTAAAAAGATTATATATATCCATAATACTTGAAGGCCTGTCAGTGATTAAAATGGAAGGCAGAGGCCGGGAGAGAGGGGGTGGCATTGAAACAATCGAGAGACATGACTTATTTTGTCATGTCATCTGATGCCTCCCTCTCTCCCTCAGCCAGGCTCCGGGAGCTGTTCAGAGCAGGGGAAGAATCCGCTCCAAATTTAGATCCTGGGGAAAAAAAAAAAAAATTATAAAATTAACGAACCTAAATTGCAGCCGTGGCCTTGGGTACCAGAGAGGGAGCAGCATTACTGGGGGGGAGGAAGGGGTTTGGTGTGGGGAGGGTCGGCATCCCTCAGAGCTGCTTCCGAGCTCGGGGATGTTGATTTTTGTCTAAAAATGGGGGGGGAGGGAAAAAAAAAATTAAAAAAAGCAAAGCAAGCAGCAGCAAGCAGCGCCTGGATGGCTGCCAGCGAGGGGCAGTGACTGAGCATTTACAGCATCCCCGCCTCCCGCATGCGGCGGGGCAGGGGCTCGGCGCCGCATCCCCCGCGGCCGGTTCCGCACCGCGCTGCAC